TTATTATGGACTCCTCCTATTATTATTATTATTATTATTATTATTATTATTATTATTATTACTGACCTTCACTGGGTGCAGGTAGCCGTCCCCTTTCAACGAGTGTAACGCCTCTGTTTGTTTTGTGCTCTCTCCATCCTCCGCACCTTCTTCTTGTAGTGTTCGAGTCAAATGGGCAATATAGGTGGTGGCCAGTATCAACACGTCGAGTTTGGACAGCTTGGTGTCCGGCGGAACGGACGGCAAAGTCCTTTGTAGCTCCAGGAACGCGGTTCTCAGGGTTTGCACTCGGCTCCTCTCCCGCGCTGCGTTGGCTGCTGCCGGGCGTCCTCTGCCGCCGAGCCCGCCGGTCTGGAGCACCCTGGCCCGCTGGAGCTCCCGACGACGACCGTCCGGACTGGGACTCGAGCTCGGACTGGATGCAGGGCTGTCATCCACCACCGCCCCGGAGCAATTACCGCTGTCCATACGGAGCGTCTGTCTTCCAACCATCGGGGTGCACTTACAGACCTGCAGAGTCACATCACAAGTCACTGTTTGTAGTTTAACCTGGCCTTATATTGCACGTTTTATTGAGCTCAAATTATAATTGACAAGACTATTTTATAGACAACCTAGGAGTCATTTATTATAATCTGTACGCATCTGTTCTATATTTAACTTAACTTTTAATTTATATGTTAACTGAAGTTATTGCCTTTGCATTTATTTATTAAACCATAACTTAATATAATAAGTTTAGTCTGCAGTTCATTATTAAATATGCCTGTTGTCAAATTGCGTTGTGCTGCAAAATTAGACAGACAGCACATTATAGTCCACAGCTCATCCGCTAACAAAACTACAAAATAACAAAAAGCCACACAGAACAGACAGCTGTCCGAAGTTGCACTAAACACGTGAATGGGTGCTGCTTTCTCGGTGACATGTCAAAAGACCTGCAGTACAGATGAAGTCTCTGCCAGGCACTTTGCCAGTGTACAAACTCATGAGAGCAGTTTCTGGCCGGTGGTTTGATGTGGAGTTTACCTCTGGTGTTTTTCAAAGGCGCCGTCTTGAAAAACGACATGAAGGCAATCCAAAGAGGGCTTCAATGGGAGAGAGAATTTGCTCTTCAGTGCAGAAGAATCCCAGTCCACGTCCAGTTTATCCTCATAAAGTGGTGCGTCTGCTGAAACGGTGCGCGGCGGTCCCTGTACGCTCATCCAACACTTCACCTGTGTGCGTAAAAGTCTCCGGAGCCCTTAATTTATTGGATACACAAAGCGGTGGACAAGTATTTCACTCCGACGTAATTAATCACTCGCCCCGTAACACTCCCTCGCAGTGCAGAAGACTGCTCTTTCCCTTTCCCAACTTATTCCTGTCTGAGGGCAGCAGAGGCTCGTTTTCAACGCCAGAGGCAGGACTTCTCTTTTCCTTTAACTCTGATATGTGGTAGGCCATATCCCACTCTAATTGGCTGCGAATCTGACACTGTATTTTCTTTATAAGCCTATCGAAAAGTGGCAACAGGAAGAAGGTTAGTCAAAATTACCTCAAAAATGTGCTCGTCATGGTCCGATATAAAGGTTAGTCTTTAAAAAACGCGATTTGCAATAGACCCTGAAGACAAGCTGACAAGTGTAAGGTGATATGCAAAACATTTGACTAATTGCTGGGGTGTCTTGAATTGCAAGCTCATTGGAACAGCTAATAAATAAACTCCTGCACTGCAATCAACAGGCAGGCATTGAGGAAATTCTTGGGAGACTCATAAATTAATCACTCTGATTTCCAGGGCTCCAAACGGAGATGTCGGCAAATTAATGAAAGGAATTATTCATAATATGTATATCCTCGGACTGTTCTTAATAAACATTGTTTTTGTAAGGATGGAGTAACAGTATTGCTCCGGGCCACTAATTACAAGGCGAAGTAAAAAGGAGGTTAAGTAAGCTTGTTTCCCTAATAACCCAGCATCTTTCAGGGGTTACACACCCACGTGGCTCCTAAACAACTCATTCAAACATTTAGTAACGACGATCACAATAAATACATCCGTACTGAGGACTGAACCATTTATCACAGTTGTTTGAACAGAAGCTTACGTTGTTAGCTTTAGATAATGAAAAGCCTTGTAATGGCAGGGCAGAGTGCTCATTTAGATTGTGCCACTCTGCATCTCCTGGTTGACTTATTTGCCAGAAAGCATGCAGAAGAAAAATGACACACGCCACAGAAAATGTAGGACTATCAGCAAGTAAACGTTTGAGCTGGACAGATTATTTTTTTTATCCCCAGACCCCAAAAATGCAATTAGAAAGAAACCAGCTGTGAAAGTGAGGGAAATCATTGTGCGGCATTCATGAATTGATTGTTTTACTCTTTAATTTCTTTTCTTTTTCAACAATACTAGATTACTTCCAGTCTACTTAATAATTTAAATGAACGTAGATTTAGTTATAACTATCCAAACATTTGAAAATAAAATTGAAACCACTGTAATCCACTCAGTCAAGGATACTGCAGGGACTCTGGACATCACAGCAAGTGGGTGACAGTGACTGTATACACTACATGAAGACCCAGGCAGTAGCAGGGTTCGTCCTGGGCTCTGGCTAATTTGTGTGTGTGGAAGAGGCGGACATTTTAGTGGGTTTTTTTTTTAGGCATCCACATGACTGCAGATGGGAGATGAGACAGCCATGTGATTGAGAAGTCCACTCATAGCCATCTTTAAGTTGTGTGTCCTATCAGAGAAAAAGAACAGGCATTATCAGAACGTGGGTCAACAATCACAACATTTCTCTCACGGTTTTATCGTGGCCCCTAAATTGAGTGAATATTTAATAGAGATTGACAGTGCTGTTACACTGCTAATAAAGAAAACAAGATCACATAAAACAGCAAGCACGTTGACAAGGAGGAAGAATGAGAGGAATTAAAATAACATACTGATATTAAATAACTGAAAAACCACTTAAAACTAAAAACATTTCTTCTTGATTTTGGTGAGAATTGTAAGATGGATCAGGATGTGGGTTGCAGCATACAAATTCTGTATGACAGCTGGTCGTAACACTGAGAATTTAATGTCTACGGTTAAATCATTTAGTAAAGTCAAAAATATTTACTCTCTCGCGTTAACTGAGATCTGTGTGAACTATGATACTGGACCTGAGAGACTGCTGTGGATACCATCTCTGCATGTTAGCCTGGCTGTAGCTGTGACCAGGATGTGGACCCTGACCCATGTTGAAGTTATCTGGAATATAAACAAAGTCACACCAGAAGACATACAAACATATACACACACACACACAAATTCAAATGTGTAAAAAAGCCACCCAGCGTAACGCAGTAAAGAATAATAAACGTAATAATGACAGAAAATACTGTGAAAGTCCTTAAAAATACAATTTGCCCTTTTTTAGTGGTTTCTACATTTTACTGAAAAATTCTAATTTATTATTTGGATGTAGCTGTTTCGTAATATCACATTTCCAATACACAAAAATAAACAATGCATGTAACTAAGATGTGACTGAGCAAAATCAAATAACAGTGAATACAAAGTAGGAAAATTTAAATCGAGGCAAAACAGTAATATACCCGATCGATTGGAGATAGATTAATTGTGAAAATGTGAGATGTTACAGTAGTTTAAAAAAACAGAATTTAGTGACTTACTTGTTAAGGCATAGGGGATCAACGGCCCGGTTATCATATGTTTGTTCATTTTCTTCTTCTTGGCCTCTTTGGATGCTTTCCAGTTAATAAGGAACTGCCTGGTTAACTCATTAATTTCCCTGCCATCGAGAACAACTACAACAATCAATGAAACAAACAGAAATTTAATTTGAAATTTAAAAGTGAACAGTGTATATATTTACTTGTATCATTAAGCAGTGACTTCATTATTAGCCTGGCTAATCAAAGCAATGAAGTGCATTTTCAGATTAGGATGCCATTGAGCAAGAAAATGAATAATATCTCACCGAGGCTTTTACACGCGGTGATCAGGTGGTCCCTGTACTTTGGTTTTTTACACACAGGGTTTTCACGCAAGTCCATTTGAAGCAGCTGAGGCCAGTGGCTGAACACATCCTCCAACTCCTGAAAATACACAAAAAAAGAAAGAAACCTATAATATGTTTTGCTTTTAACTCCTGTTACAAATGCCAATACTGTGTCTCTAAGGCTCAGTAATTAAACAGGAAGCAATGGACAACTTTCTTCTAAACAAATATGATGCATATTTATAATAAGATTACTAATCACAGGCTAACTTTGAAAGACATGGTATAAGTGAATGGTAATGGGAAGTACAAGGGCCAATGGAAAGTGCATAAACAACACATCAGTCTATTTTAATAAACAGTGTCGCCGGTGTCATGTAACTACAAGTTTTCTCCTGGGGCAGTGTGAGGCTGGCTCCTCCAGCGAGTTGCCTGCAGTTGTATGTTTATCTAAAGGCACATTAATCCAAGCCTGGAAATATGAATACTCTCTGGACACGCTCTGATTGTTCATTGCCTTCCTGTCTTGGCCAAAGCGCTTCCACTTTTCCAGCTCGTGCTGCAATCAGTTCAGAGGGGACCCCTGAGCACGGCGCGCTCCCAGGCTTTGATAAATGATCGTGTCAGGGCCGTCACTCAGAAGGCCCTCACTGAAGAGCAGCCCAGCGCCAAATTGCCCCCCACGCGGGGGCGTGAAGAACAGCAAAGGCTGGATACTCACTGAGCTTGGCTAACTCTCTCGCCTGGACTAATGATGGGCCAGTTATGAACCTGTATTTGACCAGGGCTTCGATTCCCCTGTCCTCTCTGCCCTGCACACAGCTAACGGCCTCCGAAGATGCTCCCCATTTGTCACCCTGGCTGACTGCCTGTCATAATCTATTTTAAAAATCCATAATGTTTCCTCTGGATTCTGAGAAAATGGCGCAGAAGATGGGATTGATCCTTTGGAGTGCTGTCTTTGCAGGATCAATAGTGGCAGACGGGTTGTATAAATTATAGGAGATATCTGCTAAAAATGACACGTGTACAGCAATTACCTGCATCAACGTTCTCAAAAGAAAATCACTATTTTTTAAGAAAGTGGCCTTAGCAATGACGTCAGTTATGAAGTGCTTTCAGTGGTGTCATCCTGGTCTTAAATGCCAGTAAGAAACAAGAATGAAGCCGTTTTTAAATTGTTTTATTTAATTCAAACAGAACTGCCAACTGAGAGCGAACCCCAAAAACAAGCAGGTAATTTTTCAGGGAAGCCGGAGCATAAATCATATCTCCGCGTCAGATGAATCTCCCATAAAGTTAAGTACTGGTGGTTTAGAGTATCAAATAGAGGATTCTGAGGCAGAGAGGAAAAATCAGCCTCCCAAGGAAAGAGAGAAACTTGTGCTTGTTTAAAGCTGTCAGCGAGAAAAGTCTCTGGGGAATAGCTCGCTGATTTGTTGAATAATTCTGACCCTGTGCGAGTCGTGAAGACTGGGAACCTATGGCGGGATTTGCAGGATTTGGTTCTTAAGAACCCTGTTCTCCATATCATTTCACACATCACTGCAGAAAGCCACGGAACAATGTTAATGCTGACCCGATCAACTAATAGCTGGTATTTTGGCTTTAATAAGCCATGTCATGCGTAGCTGCTATGATGTGGTACTATTTACTTTGACTGCACAGTGCATGCAGCCAGTTTTTACCTCTGCCACACTGGAGAACAAGTCCTGAACGGGGCACTGGTGGCCTAATAGAGAAGCGAGCTCATGAGCGGGAGGTCATCGGTTCAATCCCCGGCAGGATAAGTCGGGGTGGGGAAAGTAAAAAATAAAACCCCGTCCCTCATTAACACCACTGAAGTGCCCTTGAGCCAGACCCCCAACCGCCCCAGTGGAGTTGCTCAGTGGCAGCAGATCAGACTGGTTGTACTGGGTGTGTGTAACTGTGATCAGGGCGTTCCTGAAAATGAGAGACTTCCTCTCAGTGAAACTTCCCTGAATAAATAATGGTGACTCGTTTCTAATACTTCTAGTTAGTTATATTACCTCCATATTGTTCAATCTGTTGCCAGCAGCAGAAAAACGCCGGAGTTCCTTCAGCACTGTCAGGTCCCTGATGTCATCAATGTTGTTGTTACTGATATTCAAGACACACAGAGATTCCTGTGCAAACAAACCAGATTCATAAAGAGAGGAGAGTTACTTTCACAGTTAATACAATGAAAGAATATTAAGGGAAAATACATTGTTATGGACTACTGACCAAGAAAAATACACAATTTACATTAAAATGAATTTATTATGGACACACACTGTCAAATAGCATGCTACTGTGCAAAACCATATTTCGAGGAAGTGCGTTACATTGTGTGGTCAAAATAAATGTAGATGTTACAGTATTTTCATCCTTTTCTTCACTTGTGATCACTTTGGATTAAGCATTTACATCTCTTTATGTACCTGAGCTACCAGGATCATGTCCAAATCGGACTCTAGATAGTGCTGTTGCTAAATATTCATCTTGGTTTGAAGTTCTATAATGGCACATTTATAAAAAGCTGGAACTCTTTAAATTTGCACAGCAATTTCTTTAATTATCCAAACAAACAAGAAGCTGAGACTTTTGGTGTGTTTATCCATGGCCTGGGCAGTAAACGAAGTAAACAGACCAAACTGATTTGTCAGACCAGAGAGAGCAACAGAGGTCCCTTTGACATCATCAAACCCAGCACAATACTGCTTTTACATGGATCACTGGCCTCTGGGAAATCAGAGATCTTTTAAACTGGATGTGATAACCTACCAGGTTGATACACCACACATATCCTCGTGTATAAAAACAGAAACACAGGCGTTCCTCCGACCTTTTGGTTATCTTAACAAATATAATTTTAAATGAAGAGAGACCAAATACAGTGTGGCTCATCCTTCTTTTCTCTTACTATCTCTGTACTGAAAAGTGTAAAATTGGGTCATACAGCCGCTGAGAGGAGAGTCCTGGGGTCAAGGAGCAACTTCTCCCCTGGTGCCAGCCTTTGGTTCTCCAGATGAAGCTCCTTGAGCTCACGGAGATTCTCTAAGCCCTCCACCACTGCAATCCTGTTTCCACCCAGATACCTACAGAGCAGGAAAACCACACACACACACACACACACACACACCTTAGACTTGAAGGGTTTATCAAAGTACAGGATAACAATCAGTTAAACTCGCCTACTCACAGTTTGGAGAGCTTCTGCAGATTGGAGAGATTATCTATATGAGTGATGTTGTTGTTCTGCACGTACAGATGGGTGAGGTTGGAGGCAAAGCCGAGGTTGCAAATGTGTGTGATCTGATTATCGTACAGGTAAAGGACAGTGAGGTTTCTACACATGGACAGGTCCCCCTGAAAGTAGAATTTGTTTATGTTATATTGAAGTGAGGCATGAAAGAGGAAGAAAAGCACAGAACGAAAACATCAGCGTTAATAGCGGCTCCTTACAATATCTTCGATGTTCTTGCTGGAGAAGTGGAGGTGGGTGAGTGTCTTGAGGTACTCTGGGAAGGAGAGGCCCCTTTTCTTTTTGAAGTGGTTTCTAGATTTAGCAATCACATCTATGGTCAGGCGTACCATGGTGGCTCATCACACATGCAGCTTTAGAGAGGATCCTTTTCAGCGTCAGCCAAGCATTCAGTCCACAGCAGTGACTAGATCTGTCTGTTCAAAAAAAAAAAGAAATTCAAGTCAGCTTTATTGTGAGATCTACAAGACATAAAATAAACAATCAACGGTATCTACAAGACATAACAAATAAACAATCAACTTATAACAAGACATAAAATAACAATCAACTTATCAACAAGACATAAAATTAACAATCAACTAATCTACAAGACAGTAAAGATAAACAATCAACTATCAACAAGACATAAAATACAACAACACTATCTACAAAAGACAGTAAAATAAACAATCAACTATGCAACAAGACATAAAAATAAACAATCAACTATCAACAAGACATAGAACATAAACAATCAACTATCAACAAGACATAAATTAAACAATCAAAACAAGACATAAAATAAACATAACTATCAACAAGACATAAAATAAACAATCAACAGACATAAAATAAACAATCAACAAGATCATAAAATAAACAATCAACTAATCAACAAGACATAAAATCAACAATCAACAAGACATAAAATCCAAAAATCAACAACAACAAGGACATAAAATCAACCAGCAACAATCAGAATTCAGAAATCCCCGCGCACTTTGAGCAGCACTTTCGCAGAGCAAACACTTTTTCATAGCCTTTAATCACAAGCAGAACAAAGATAACCTTGCTTATAGAACCTTATTAAATTGTCCCTAAAACCCTGATTTGTCAATTCACAATAGCGTAATCGGATGGAAAAAAAAGACATTCCCCCCGCAGGTGTTCTCGCAGCGAAACTTGCCCCCTGAGGAGGGCCAAACGGTTTTTCTGGGTGACCCACTTCCAGATTTTGGTGTTGAAATTTTTTTGGACCCCACCGAGATGTGAATTCCCCTAGAGGGAACATAAGACACGCGCAGAAAGAGCCTTTTTTAAACCATACCCTTTCCCATTTCCATTTCCACCTTGGCTCATTTTTTGGTCTAGGTTATCTATATGTGTGAGGTTTCCATCTAGAACACCTGAGGATTCTCTCCTCTCCTTAGTTGGAAATTTTTTGTCACCCCTTTTTTTACTTTTGAAACAAGACAGGGATTTTATTTTAACCAGCACTTCCAAGCTGTTAATTTAACAGAGTCTTGGGTGGGGTTTTCAACAAAATAATTTAAAAACAATCTCGAAGAGGCTTGGGAAAAAACGGATATGTGGTGCGAAGAGACGGGTTTGGGTTCGAAATTTATTTTTTACCAAATTAAAATGTTGGGAAGGAATTCCTTTTCCATAAAATAACATTACAGATGAGATTTCAAAGCCTGGACCCTTCCCCCCCCCGTTACCCAAGCCGGACAAGGAGGACACCTCGACTCTCCCCGGAAATAACAATGTTTGCTGTTTGGGCAAGGTTGTACGGTGTTGAAAGGAATATTTGAAACTAAAAAAATTGACCCAAGAAAACGTAAATACCTACGTGGGTGGGGTTACCAGGGTTGGTGAGAGAGAGAGGTTTACCTCTTTGTCTAATCAACCCTGTCCACACCACCAAGCTCAACCCTACAGAAAAAAAATCACCGTATTGTACAGTAAGAGAGACCTTGAGAGAAAAAAGGGAAACCAAAATCCTATCTAAAATCACCCCATTATGTAAGCGGCGTCAACGCGAGACACAAATTGTTTTCAACAAATCTCTCTTAAACTATGTGGCAGGACCTTTTCTGGGTGGCCTGTCAAGGTCTTCCAAATCCAAAATGATAAATTCCCTATCATCTTCTTCTCTCTCTCGTCATAAATGGCTGTTTGCTAGTTTAAACAAAAAAAAAGGTGATCTACACTCTCATGGTAGGGGGTCCTTTCAATTAAATTGAACAAACCAATACCTTAGGTTGCTGCCAATAAACAATCTTGAGCCCGTCATTGGCAAAAAAAAACAAAGCCTCAGAGGAAGAGAAGGCTTACTTGTTGAGTGGGTGTAAATACGCTCATTCAATTTGGTGGTGTGTAGAGGAGAGGCACCACCACTGCACCAATCGTACCAGCTGTCTTTGGTTTACAGTGATTCTCGCTGGCGACTAGGGCGGTGCAAAGCCAAGATACCGAATTAGTAGGCACGACTTTATAATTCAACATGGTACTCATCAACATCCTTATAACATGCGTGGATACGGTGAAGACTCATGCTTGTATAGGTCGCGCAATAGCTGTAAATCATCTACCTATAAGTGGGGATTTGCCCGCCGGTGGTGTCTCTGCGTGCGACGTGAGGATGCCGCCATCGCTGCGTATAATCACTTGAAGAAGAAGTTAGGGTGGTTTATTCCGTTTCCGGCCTCCAGTGGTTGTGGTACCCGGGAAGGCATCTTCTGCAGTTGTGGTCGGACATCTTTATTGTACATGTTGTATACCTCAGTACTCGTGTTCTCTCGGCTCTGTCACTCGGGTTGGGGTGTTCAAGTATAGGCTTCTGTCCACTAAGTTCAATAATCTCTTGTTTATAATGTTCGATCCCCTGTTCGTGGTCTCTGCTTCCTTGCCTCTGTGACGGAGGGATATGCCGCTGACGCGCTGTGTATGAGTAGGACGCATCTTAGTGTGGAACAGAGATAGCTGTGTATCGCCTCCGCGTCTCTCGTGGTTTCTTTTGCTTTTCCTGTCCGAACCCCCCCCGTGCCCATGATATCAGTGCACCAAGCAAACCATGTCCTCCTCGCGTGAGTTCGCTCTCTCTGTCTCTCTGCGGATCAGAGACATTATAGCCAGGCCTCAGGGACGGTTCTAAACAGACTCCGTTCCTGAGAAAAGTGTCGGTTGAGGTGAGGAAGGCGGTCAGAGGCTGGCTTCTCGCCAAAGAATATTAGCCTAATAAAATGCTCTTAGTGTGGACCTTTGCAACAAAGGTGAGTATGTTGCAAAAGTCGGCAGGCATTTTCAATTGCCTACCCTGCTGGACATTGCTTCATTTGTTCCATGTGAACGTCACTACTATAAAGCGTCCTATAAGCTCCAGCCGTCACCACGGCATTTTCAAAGAACGAAGTCGACTGTTGGTTTCCAATTTGAGCTCAGGTTGACAGTACCCAAATATGATGTATTATTATCTCCCCTCAATTTGTTTAATGTGAGGTGAAACAGTATGTAACTTGTCATGTACGCCCTCGCGCCTCTCTCAGTGCTTAGCTCGTGACTGTTTTGTAGGAGGCATTCCCACCCTGCCCTGCCTAAACTTTGCCCAATATCAAGATACTTGATCTTTGATGTTTGTATGGACTCACATAACCAGGCCTAATTGCGCTGCCCTCTGTCAAGCAAAGGCTTTCCGCTGTGAAGGACTGATCACTCTCTGGCTGTGTCTTATTTATCCACAAGGGCATTATGACCTAAGCTTGTAGACTTGACAAATCACGGTTTACATTCTCTAGTGTGGCTCTAAGCAAGTATGTACTAGCAAGCGATTTTTTTCTCAAGACTTGTATTCTCCTCATGTGTTTATTCATAAAAAGAAGATCCGAATGCAGCCGCTGCATAGCTGAAATTAATATCTCTACTGCCGGTCCGGCGGTCGCATGGTCTCCCAAATTTCAGATAGCTCCTGTCCTGTAATGTCAGAAACTTTGGATACCGAGGGTAAATATGGTAAAGATGGGATAGTAGCCATAGCCCATTGGGCTTCGCGATCTTCAACTGTCATTGTTGAATTGCTCATTTGGTTGAATTTATTCTCTGGTAGCTTAGAAACTAGACAATACTCTGGTGTGTTCCTATATATAACTCTCTCCAGTTGCAATATGGATGAGTTTTGCGCAGATTTGGATATATAATCACTTGCCCTCAAATTGTCCTCGCTTGTGCTAGACCAAAAGGATAATGTACGAATACTCGTAAATGATATTGTTATGTAAGGTCTATGACTTATCTTTTCCCTTTATATTTTGTCAAGCTGTGGCCCGGATGGCATTTGAATAGCAGTAGGAAATTCAAAGTTCAGGTGGACTTCTTGGACTGATTAGTTTGAGTGTGAAACTATATCTCTCTCCCTCGTTTCTCAGATACTCTTCAAGAGGTATCCCTAGTGGTGTGGTCTAATAATATATTGTCTCTCGCATGTTTATGGGTCTGGCTTCTTTCCAGATGATAATGAAATGGTTTCGCGTGTTGTGCGATGTGTGAAAGTATTATATCATTAAATGGTGTATTCTGTGTTAACTTTGTGATTCAGGTGTCCCTGGTTGGATAGGTTGCGATTTAGCCTTTATTTTACTGATGATCGGACTTGGTAGATTGTGTGTGGTGTTTAGTATTCGATCTGTTCTGATTTATTTTGGGCTTTTAAGAGATGTAGTGCAGCTCTAAAGCTTGTCCCTTGGTTTTTGATTTAGCTTATAGACATATTGTACTCAACCTAGCATACTGTGTTAAATCTCGCTGTGCTTGGGTGGACGCATAGAGTTGTATATGTGTGTCTTTATTTATTTTGTGATAATACTTCGGGTTGTGATTATATAAGAATGTTGCATGTGTGTTTTTTTTTAATGTTGTGACCATGTATGAGATCTGTATAAATTGACTAAGTTTGATTTTATTTGGTGGTTAATTGTTTTGTGTAGGTAGATGATGCACTTTGAAGCATATGGTCTGAGTCCTAGTATATTTTATGTCTTCGGCTAGATTCCTAATTAATAAAAGTTCGTAACTCTTGTGAATATCGCTTTCTATATTTATTGTGTGGTGTGTGAAAACAAGTTGAGCGGTGCTTCAGTTCTCCGGCGCATGTCCTTGCTGTGTGGTGGGAGCGCAGGAGTGCTGGCATGTTTCGGCTGACGCTGAAATAAAAATGGATATCCTAAAATTCTGGGTAAAGCTGCCATGGGGTTTGTGTGTTGATGAAGTGCCAGCGCTGTGTCTGTAAGTTGTTACGGGTCTTCTCTTCTCTGCCGAAGAGATGTGATTGCTTAAATCCCTAGCAGTTACCACTTCAAAAAGAAAATAAAGGGGTTCGACAATCCTCACTCGCTTTGCTCTCAGCAATGTACCTCTAATAAGAACAATCACCCACCTCCTAATCTTTTTCCCAGCTAATTGAGATGCAACATGCGTTAATTGATATTGTTGAGGGAGCACTGGTCCCGCGCATTGGAGAGACTAATTAAGAGACGCTGACGCTGTGGTGGTTCTCAGTTCCATGTGCTATCTCTCTTCGTTCCTCATTTCATGTGTCGTGGCCTGGGGAAGCTGCTCAGTGCCATTTGCTTATGAATTGAGCATCCTTATGTATGGAAATGGTGGTTACATAGGTTTGTTCGAGAAGATGTGCAGAGTAGGGTGTAAGAAACCTCAACTGTAATATCGGTGGGTCGGAGCAAAGCCTCTATGACCTGTATGGAAGCATAGATAAATGTGTACACGACAATTTATGTTCCTTGGACCTCGGCCTTTGCCTCATGCCAGAATCTCACTCCTTACTGTGGTACACGTGGCCAGTAACATATCATGGTCTTGGCATAGTGTATTGCGCATAACTACATTCTCTCGAATGACAGAAGGCTCTCCAAAGCTTGCCTTGTGATTGTTAGTGCGGGGATTAGTTTTTACACTGATTGTGATGTCCTTGTTCCTCCTTTTTTAGTAATATAACACCACTCTCGATTGAGAATTTTAAGAAGGTGTAGTGTGTCGTAGTCGTGTGTGTGGGTGTTTGGTCTGTTGGGTTTGCACTTGTCCTCTGTAGCGTAAATCTGGGGTGGTAATAAAGGCTAGGATTGCCATTAGATGTTGGCTGTTCCTGGGACACTGCGGACGGGTTACGCTGGTTCTCCGAGATTGACGCAATCTCAAAGGGGAGCTTACATCTGCGAGAAAACCTAAAAGTCTGGCACCAAAAGGGCGAGAGTAAGTTTGCTAATCACAGTATGCCCCCAAGCGGACCTCTCTCCTATCTTGCTAGCCGGCAATGATTGTAGTGAGCTCTCCCTCTCCCCCCCAATTTTTACTCTTTTTGTCTATGTATGAGGTCAGCAATAGTATATAGGAACGAAAAGAAGAAGGCAATGAGTGACCACACCTGTATTTTATGCTCATGTCTACATTTAACATCAAATTGACTCCTCTTGTTTAATGATTTAAACCAACCCAAGGTCAGGTGTTTCATGGAAGGTAGAATTGAAGGACAGCACCCGCTTGTAGATGCTCTTTCTGTATTAAGGATATACACCGCAGGCCTATATGCTGGAACCATGTAAGGGGTGTAAAATCAAAGCGCTCGGTAGCGTTATCACAATCCCCACGTTTTTAATTAAGATCTCTGAAATTTCCCATGGAGGCCATACGTTCAGACATTCCCCATTCATTTAAACAACCTTGTGATTAAAAAGCAAAGATATTTGTTTGGATTTTTCTGTAATGATTGTTCAATATAACAGGGCACTCTCTGTTTGCTCCCCTCCATCTTATTGGTTTCCTGACCAAATGCTCCCTAGGTTTGGTCTTGTTTACTTTTTTGTTTAAGATTTGCAGCCAACATTGCCTTAGGAAGTCATAAACCACAACCAAAAAAACAGTTTCTCAGCCTTTCTTTGTTATTTGTAATTTACTAATGTCAATAAAAATTAAAAAGAAATGCGTGCCTTGCAAGAAAAATTATCTCAAGAAGTTTTCCAGCTTTAATACTTATTAGAATAAATAGATGATGGAAAAATCACTAGAAACGTTCCGATCAAGATATAGTAATGAATATTTTACCAACTGAGCTGACCACATAGTGTGATTATGTCAAGAGCTTTTTTGGTAGACCATTTGATACCGTAGGAGGAGTAGCCTCCCAGGCTGTTAACCCATTAAAAAAGCGAGTAAGGCTAACGCTCTTGCGCTTAGAAATATATCCCCAAACAATTGTGACATCACAACGTGAAAGCTATCACAGTGAGAGAAGTGAAGAATGATCACTTTCATGATATTACGTCCTCGTATCAACTGGTATATATTATTGTCACTCCCAACCATGTAATCGTAACTTTCCCCATCTCCTCCAGAAAAAGCCGATATTTTGGTGTCGCACCGCAGAAAGTCTAGTGTCATGCTAATCTTCTCTTGAAAAGTTTGCTACTGCGTTTCAGCTCCTCACCAATGCGCCATCAGACATCCACCCCAACAAATGCCTATTAACACATGCCCCATTTAGGGGGTGTGGTGGTCCTTAATATAATATATTTCAAATTCTTTGCCTTTTAAAACCTCTCTCTCTCGCCCCGCGTGTCAACAGACATGTGTGTGCTATTCTCTCCCTGTTCTTCGGGTCCCGGCCAGGGTAGTCCGTGATGAACCAATGGTATTATCTTTCCTTATGTATACTGGGGTTAAAGGGCACTTTGCATCTTGTTATCTTAACCCCTGTTTCGAAAGGTAACTCCTTCCCTCTTTTTCTGGCCGAAATTTTGCTGGGTATTTGGGTTTGCACCCAGGCGGAAACTCTTTCGTGTGATGGGTTCTGACATTTTATCCGATAGTTACAGCACCACAACCAGAACCCTAGATGTACGTATTGAACCGAATCCTTTCAATGTGTGACCTGCTGGTCTCTCTAGAGCGTGTCTCGGCACAGTGCTCGCGCACGCAGCCTCCTCTCACGCCCGACTGTTTTAGTTTTCTCTTGTGTCTGTCTCCAGCAGCGGCGCAATCCCAGAGGTTGAACAAATTATTTGAGGAACTTCGATCATACTGGTCACATGAGTCAAACCTGTCCTCGTATAACAAGTCTGCGGTTAATATGGCTGATGGTCTTCTAGATTGGGCTTTAACATAGTACACTAACTGCATATATCATTTTAGGATAGTTACTTAAGATAAACACGGAATGTCTCACCGACTTTATGTTAATCTGGTGTGATTCACAGGGCTAAGGTCTTCACTGGAGATAGTGCCAAGAAGGAA